ACATCTTAGTTTACTAACAATTAATTCACCAACAAGTTCATTTCACCAACATTTAATTCACCGACAAGTTCATTTTACTGACAAGTTTTTTTATAAATTACACTAACATTAACTCTAATTCTAGCCTAACCTTAACGACAATGACTAGAATTACTTTGTCTGTGAAATAAGCTATCAGTGAATTAATTGTAGTGAAATGAACTTGTCAGTAAATTAATTGTTGGTGAACTAAGATGTCAGTGAAGTGATTGTTGGTAAAATAAGCACTACCCAAATTATTAATCAATTTTGTTAAAATTTTCAGATTTTTCTTACCTATATTTTTATAGTTTTCACAAAGATTATCTCGATAATGTTCTTTTCACTTTCAATGTTAAAACTATTTTTGAATTCTGCAAACTAATAAAATTCGAAAATGACCTTAAGCATTAGAATTAACTTATCTGTTAGGGGGTGGTGCTCATTTCACTGACAATCACTTCACCGACATCTTAGTTTACTAACAATTAATTTACTAACAAGTTCATTTCACCGACAATTAATTCACCAATAGCTCATTTCACAGACAAAATAATTCTGGTCATTGTCGTTAAGGTCAGGCTAGAATTAGAGTTAATGTTAGTGTAATTTATAAAAAAACTTGTCAGTAAATTAAATGTTGGTGAAATGAACTTGTCAGTAAATTAATTGTTGGTAAACTAAGATGTTGGTGAAGTAATTGTTGGTGAAATGATACATATCCTAATATTATATGATTTAACATGTATTTTAAATATCTATCATATGAACCTAGCATAATCACCACAATCAGTTATATACAAAGTTGGAATTAATTATCTACCAAAATTTTAATGATGCAAAGTATTGGTCATTGTTAATAATGAATTATAATAATGATATTTATTTATATTATAACTTAATAACAAGTATTGATTAAAAATTTTTCTTACCAAATATCTCATAAAATCTAATTAATAGAATCCGATTATTCAACCCAATCGAATTCAAAAAAATGTTCATCCTGCCAAATAATTAAACAAATTAATACATTTGAAACAAATAAAGAAATATGTATCGAATGCTTAACCTGTATAAATAAAAGCAAAAAACGGAAGTGTCAAGAGCAAAATATGAATGATATTCTTGAAAAGCAAGAAAATACTATAGAACCTGAAGATATCAAAAATATAGTTTATAAAAAACTTATGGATAATATAGAAGAAGAGAATACACGAATAGATCTTAATGCAATCATAAATCTTTCAAATCAAATTGATAAATTAGAAAATAATGATGAATCACATGCAAGCTTAATAGCGAATGAGATTGTAAAGCTCTGTAAAAAAGGTGATGGATATTCTTATATTTATCATAAGAAGCATTATATTAAGCAAACAAAAGTACAATATTCACTTATTGGTACAATTGCCATCAAGAGCTTGAAAAAAAGACAAAAAAGGTTTTAGATAATTCTAAACAACATAATACAGAGTCACGATTAGATCATTATGACTGCAAAGGTGCTATTCTTGTTAGGATCGATTTACAAAATAAATTAGCCTCAGTAAAATTGGATCATGTTTACTTGCATCCACGACTACAACATATAGGCATTACTGATGAAATTAAAAGATATATTAAAGAAAATTTAGTATATTCTGCACTTGAATTATATAAACAAATTGTTTTTAAGAAAATAAATAGCTATGAATTAATTATGATTAATCAAGCATATTATTGGTGGGCGCATCATACTGTTACAAAATATCAAAGAGCAAATAATCAATTTCAATCAGCCAAATTGTTATTAAATAAAAAAAATTACAAAATTATTTTTAAAATGGATGATCTAGTAGGAGTATTTGCCTTTATAATGCCATTTATTGCTAAATTGTCTAAAATAGCTTTTGAAACTTTACTCATCGATACCACCTATAATACGACTAAGCTTAAATATAAGCTTTATTCAATTTTAGCAGTTCTAGATAGTACAGGCTTTCCAATAAGTTACTTATATATTTCAAGTGGCAAGAATCGTGATATACGTATGATCCTGACAAAATGGTTTAAGAACATTTCAAATATGAACATTAACAATATAAAATTATTATTGTCTGATAAAGATTTTTTACAAATCTCTAGTATGCAAGCTATTTGGAAAGATGTAAGAGTACAACTATGTAAATAGCATATTAAATATGCTATAGAGCAAAGGCTTTTTTCAACTAAAAAAAGAAATAATATTTGTTATGATGCTAATAAGGCACATAATGAATGTCCTGTAATTGACCCTATATAGAATAATCAATACACAGATACTGTTTTATGCAATAAGGTTTTTCTTAAAGCTGAATTAAGAAAAGATATGCTAGATTTTATAGAAACTCATTTTCACTGACATATGTTGATACCTACTGCAGATAAAGAGTTTGTTACATCATCTCAAGAAATTTGGACATGGTCTGTTCATGAAATGTTCAACTACTATCACCAAAAAAATTTATTACATGTGTGGTCATACTTGTGGAATGAATGGTACTGTTGGAATAGGTGGTCACTTTGGGCATTATCTGCTTTACAAGATATTTTAATAATTTGTACAACTATGATTATCGAGTCTCATTGGTGTATTCTAAAAAGAAACTATTTGTACAAATTTAATCAGCCTCGTATCGATCTTGTCTGTTATATCCTAGTCAAAAAATTATTACCTATGCAATTACAACAGTATCAATTGCTTTTGCAAGAAAGAATATTGCCATCTTGGTATGTTGATTTCAAAAATGAATGGCAAAAACTTGCTATGCGTTCAATTAAAACTACAAACAAATATCTAACAAACAACGAGCATTGGGTATGTTCTTGCCTTTATTTTTTAAAAAATAGGTTTTATTTATGTAAGCATCTTGTTAGTCCTTTAGGAAATATGACGGCCTCATTCTTTAGAAAGGTTTGATAGATTATTTTTATATTATTGTATATATTACAGTTTAGAAATGTATATAATTATTAATAACTTTCAATTTAGGTTCAACGAAATTCATATTGTCCATTAATTGAAGAAGCTGAAACAACTATATGGAAGAAAATTCGCATATTACCTGATAATGTACCACTTCCTATAATGATTACTTCAACTATTCTTGACAATAACGATAATAACATTGTAAAAAATGATGAATCAAGTGAAGAAGAAAGTGAATTGGAAATTATAGATCAATACAAAAAAACTTTTTACGAAGTACAACCTATTTATTGTTTTTATCAAATTAAATTATGCAGTATAAATATAAAATATCTAAATTTAATACTGATACTATTCTAATACATATAGGCGCTTGAATTTCTTGAAAAGTCTCATAACCTTCCACAACAAAAAAAATGGTTGAAAAATATTGAATCAAATTTCACGCCAATTAAAAAGATGATAGATGATATAAAGAATTTGAACCAAGCGAAAAACCTTCCAAAGACATGGAACACACGAAATAAAAATACTTTTTATCGGTAAACCTAAATTTTATGAACATTTCATGATATAGTTCATAAGTTAGGTAATAATAATAATTTACCAAATAAATTTCGAATAAATGCTTTTTCTTGATGCAATATAAATGCTTTTTCTTGATGCAATAAAAATTTATGATATAGCATGTAAAGTTAGGTAATAATTGCTTACTAAATAAATTTTAAATAAACACTTTTCTTGACACAATAAAAATTTTATATTAAAGTTCTTATATAATAATTTTTATATGTTGCTAACCTGTTGGGTTATATGATCCGGTAAAATCTCTGATCAGATTTAAACAGCAATTATATAACTGATCGTGGTAGTTATGCTAGGGGTTTTATCTATCAGGCTATTTGAAATTAAATCTTTGTTTAATGAATAGGATTTAGGCTTTTGTACTACTGGTAATATATTTTAAAAAATTTATAGCACAATCAAAAATAAATAAATTTTTACAATTTTATACTCAAATAATTATTAAATCT